GGGGGGGATCAATGTGAAGACTTAAATTGACCAATAACAATAAATTAAAAACAATTTCTGCTAGACCAATACAGATCAATTAAAATAATAAATAAAATTAATAAGACCTAGATAGGAGACGGGCTTTGTTCTTCAAAGTGTAATAAAATAACAAGACTATCTTTGGAAAAAAAAAAAAAAAAAGGGCATAATGTTTAAAATAATGTTTATAAACCATATATAATTAATAAAATTAATTAATTAAATTAAGCAATTAGAAAAAAAAAACAGCACCATGCCTGTATGTATAGTTTAATACAAAGGACCGAAAAACCAATCACAAAGAGTAGGCTACTTTCTTCATTTAAAAACATGATACAGTGGGATGGGGAAAAACCGCCATAACATCTTTAGACATATTTTTTTCAAAGTTGAACTTGCATTAATTTTACATGGCTTTCTAAACATGCCGCTCTCGGCAAGACGCAAGTGCAACGCTGATAGATGTCCCTCTAGAAAATGTGATAAATATGCGTTCTGTGTGAACGGCTTGGCTTCAGTTTTGACGTAAACATCTCTACACTGATGCTCTCGTTTTCCGCAATATGAATGAACAACGTAGCAGCGCCACATCTAGTGGGTTCAACTGGATAGGCTACCAAAAGCATTCAAATGCAATCAATGACACATACATCGTCATTGCATCTCGTGCGCCACTGATAAGGCTGCCTGACACAGACCTTAAACTCAAATGCAACGGTTTTGCATTCGAATGTGGATTTAAAAAATTTTTTTTTAATTTTTTTTAATTCGACGAATATTCAAAATTCTTTTTGACAGCCCTAATAGACAGACAGATAGCAACACTGATATATTGCGCATCCCTATTTTTATCCTTGTGGATGGTAAAGACAAATATGTACAACAACCACTCACATTTTCTTGTTAAAAAAATAAAAAAGTAAACAATGTCAAATTGTTAAGGTTAAACTTTTAGAGTTTCACATTAACTTCATTTTCAAATATATTATTCACAACTGTCCATTTGGGTAAAAAGGTTTTGTCAATTAGCTGTAGGGTTGGTGAAATCCAGTACGCAATGTACAACGTCAACGGATGTGCATGCCGTTACACGACACCGGTCACATGAGTTTAAAGGCAGAGTGAGGGATTTCTGGTAGCCAATGTTGATATTTGAAATCACCAAAACAAACACGCCCCTACCCCAAAAGGGTCTCGCCTCTATTCTGATAGCTCCGCCCCACATATACGTACGCAACCCAGGCAACGATTAGTTCTGTGAAACAAAGCAAAATCAATGTTACACCGTGTCTACGGACGTGAGCGGCGCAGCGCAACAAATCCCCAACAGAAAACTGGTGCCGGGTTCTATTTATGACTTGCTGACACAAATTTCAAATGGTTTTCAACAGTCGTTTGAGCGCGTCCAGTGTAGGCAGATTTTAGCTGTTGTAGACACTGTTACTCACCTATTGAGAAGAAACAAAGCAACCTTGGCGTCCGATCGCAGGCCTCCGCTCCTTGAGTTCTCTCCAGCGCTGGAAAGCTGATCCGATATTTACACGGGTCCTACTTCTTGCCTTATCATTCCGCAGACGTTTTCCTCTTTTGTTTTTATCCTCCATCTCTATCTTTCTGTCGCTCGGCTCGGCTAATGTCCGTCCCATGCACTGAACGCGCTCTCCTCCACTTCACGTGTAGACATGCCCCTTATTGCTGATTGGCTACAAGTTTGTTTTGCGATTCAGCCCAAATAAGTTTTTTTAAGTGCTTTTGAAAAATCACTTACTCTGCCTTTAAAAGTCGAGATGAAGAAGAGACACCAAATGGATTAAAAGTACTTTTTTGACTATTGCAACGATTAAAAATAATCAAGTTCATCAGAAGACGGAGAGTCACATTTACAAAGTATTACACCAACCCAAAAAAACAGGCCAATTTGTAAAAAAATTAATTATCCAGCTAGCCAAATTTCTCATAGGCAACTAAAATATCCTTGAGCAATAAAAGCAAATTCAAATATACAAACACACCAAACTAAGACCACCTCTAAACTTACTAGTAGCATTTGTGAACTGCGCTTGAAAGCTAAAAATACTCCCAAGCAAAGCTTCAGCCTCCCTCACAGTGTCACATGTAGCCAGTCGACTTGAGTTTCACATATCAAATCTTAAGAATATGCCATATTAATCACTACATAAGAGAGCAACACTAAAACCAGACTTATACAAGCTGACACAATTTCATCCAATTGTTAACACCGGCTTGGGTGTAGACCAAAAGCTGTAATTTTATTCCTATCGTCCATTTTACTGACATCACTAGAAGTGTGACTCAACTTCCACTCTAGTGTGAATACAGAGAGTCTTGGCCTTTGTTGCGTCTCGGATCCAGTTGCATTTGCTTTATTACACCAAACATGAACTGTGCACCATGAGAGTCTTCCTTTGATCTGAAACAGGCAGACAAATTAATGCATTTTATTATCAAATGTCGCCCACCTGCCTGGCCTGCGGTGTCTGCAGCAGCTCGTGAACCATTTAATCCAAACGGCGAGAATCCAAACCAAGTCGTTCGGCATAACACATCAAGATATTTACTTTTCAGATCCGAGGACAATCAGCTTGGATTTCTGAAGATGTGGCAACGGTGTTTACGCTCATTCACTGATAGATTCCAATGGCATGAACAACTTACAATCTCAAAGACACAGATTCACTGCTTTGCTATGTGGAAAACAGCGTCCACTTAAAACTAGGGAGTGCAAATTAATAGCAGGACTGGTTTAAAATAGAAACAATAGGTTTGGGCTTATATAGGCAGAAAGGAGCATCTTTCATATTAAATACAAACTTCGTCAAACATTAAGCACTAATTTCTGTATTAAAATTGAACTTAACTAATGTTACCGATGCAATGTCATTTGTTCAGTAAAACTCAGCATTATTATTACTTTTTTTTTTAACTAGATAAGGTTGCAAAACTGACCAGAAGACATGATTAAAATAAATAAAGCAATACAATTTATAAGAAAATATTTCTATTCATCAGTGGAATTCCCATGGCTTTTAAGAATTAATTTTCATGACTTTCCCTGACCTGAAAATCACAATTCTAAAATTCTAAAAAGCCAGTTACTTTCAACCAAACTAGACTGTCTGCCAGCAGACTAAGACACATAAAACAAGTTATTTTGTTGCATTACCTACTGTGGGTTTAATTAATGGCTTCATTAGCGTATCAAGTGCTTAATAAGGAAGGCAACGACGGCAAAGGGCTGGGATTGGTTCGCTACACCGAAGTTCCTGCTCGCTTTGAGGGGAATTTGTTCAGCTGAGTGGGTGATTTGCTGTCAGGCAGGGAAATAACTGTCGCCTGCTGCTGACTGCTAGCCTGTTAGCACTGCTTATCCAGCCTCGCGTTGCGGTCGACGCGGGTCTTACCTTGTTGCTCTGGTAGTCTTCAAACGCTCGCAGCGCGCTGTCAGTCAGCTTGACGTGATAGACGGAGATGTTGCTGCCATTGCTCACTCTTCCACAGGACAGTCCGTAGCACCGCTCCTCTTTTAACGTCGCCATCTTGCTCGCACTTCCCACCACGCTCACGCGCCTCTGCTGTGAACGCAACAAGCAGCTCGAGAGAGCTGAGGATATGATTATTCATGAGGCGTGAACTACGTACAGGCGGGAGGGGGCGTGGCTTCAGGGCTAATCATGAGAGGGATGACCAGCGATGGGAAGTCCGACTCATTTCCGCGAATCGGTTCTTTCGAGTAGTTCGTTTCAAAGAACCGGTTCTGAAACGATTCCGCTGTTCTTTTACATTACTCTCTAAAAAAATCATAGTCAGGAACATATTGCTGCTTATAAAAAAAAAAACTAATTTATATTGTTTCGGTTCTGCAGTCATGACAAAACTTTTTACTTAGAAGAACCTAAAACATTTGACTTAGACCCTAAGTATAATCAGTTCATTTACAAGTTGAAAAATGTGCTGTTATGGACGTTTAACAACATGTCGTGAACGTTTTTTGGTAACATTTCTGCTATTTGACGATTAAAAAGTAACCTAATTTCTGCTTATTTAGCCATTATATTACTTTCAGTCAGAATTGTTGACTCGCGATCCGGTCAGACCAGATTCAATCCAATAAGTGAATGAATCATTGTGAACCGATTCACTGAAAAGATCCGACTCGATTCTCACGGATTGGACATGGCTAGAAATCACCGATAAATAGCGTCATTACAACGCGGTTTGAGGCATTTTACAGTCTATGGGCATGATACGTTTATTTGTGAATATATTTCAACAATAAGGCAGACGTGCATGATTTGAAATGTGTGATTTGACCATGTTTGGTGGTGTTTTCATACACTGGAAAACTCTTGGCTGGGGGTGGGGGAAGGTTTTGGATTGAACGCTTCTCTCTCACAGAACTGAGTCAGAAAAACGTCAATGTCTAGAAACCCCCCTTGAATAGGGATTGCCCCTCCAGACTCCAACGAAAGGGATGAGGTTTCGTCACGTTATGCACTTTAAGTACATTCACTATTTCATTTGTTCATCATAACAATGTATTATAACAGTGGCACGTGCAAGAAAGCACTGTGTTATTCTATTAACACTATTCACTTTTATTGCCTTGCAGTCACACATATTTCATTCAGAAAATGCAAATCTAGAATTCACACAGTAGCTCTGATGATCTTCAAGAAATCACTTTATTTTCAACCATATGAACAGAAAGTGCAAAAGTTTATTATAGGGTATACAAAATAATTTAAAGGGAATGTTGGAAGTTACCAATACTGAAATCAGAATGGGCAAATGGGGAATGACGACAATCAACTTAAGGATTACAAGGATAAAAAAACTGACAGATGTCTGTTCATCCTAAATAAATAATTCAAACTAAATGCTGATAATTCTTGTAGGTCTGTATGACCTCCCTTGCAGTGTTTGGTCATGAAAATAAGAAACTCTGGGAACATTATTGAGGGACAGCAGCTGATTCCAGTGATATTTTGGAGCCAACAAAGGAGAAGAAAGCTCGAAAACCAGTAACGTACCACATCAGTGCAAGGACTTTTAAAATAGTGTTGTCTTACTTTAGATACTGCAGAAGAAAAAGCCTACAATCATATTCTTCAATGTTCAAGACTGTTCACAAGCAAGTTTCAGTTCACCAAAATAAGATCACGGAACTTCACGCATGTTGTTGAAGAGTTCTGCAGCGAAACACGACTGTGTCCAGCAACCTGAAGAGCGTCATTCTGTACATTGATAAATGTATTAATTCTAACTAGGAACTTCTCTGTACATAAATAGGAATTAGATCACATTTCTCACATCTATTTCACCCCAGCTCATCTTCCATACATTGAAAGTACATTTAAAACCTCTACAGTGCGATGAAGGGCAACAGAACTACAACCATTTTACTTTCAATTACAATTTTTTTTATGACAGTCGGTAAGGTGTTTGGGTGCCTGGCGTACTCAAGGTCTTCAGCACCACATCATTCATCTCGTCACAGTGAATTTGGGATTAATTTCTAGCTGCAATGACGACTGATAAAGCTACACCGCCAATCGCAACGGCTGTTGCCCCAAAGAGCCACTTCCAGCTGAGACTCTGTAAAAAGACATAACTTGTTTAAAAGAAATACTTCACACAAAATGAAAACTGTCATTATTTATTCATCCTCATGTTGTTTTAAATCCATATGTGGCTTTTTATGGTATTTTTTGGAAGTCTTTTTTTAGCTTTGTGGGATGAACAAATTAAAATGTAACTTATTATTGGCTGATCATTTTCTGCACCAGTGAGGTTTGAGTTGAACTTCAGAATCAGAATCGTCAATGAATCGTTCAGTCTGATTTATGAACCAGATTCACTAGAAAAGAAATGGCTTTAATGAATGATTTGCAAAAAGCGGCGTTCAGTATCGTAATTGTTGCGTGCACCGCATTTAATACGGCATCAGTATTTGCATACTTCACCACAATTGGCCAGTCATTTGGACTGGCGTGTGCCAATAGGACTTCAGGAAAGATTGGAAGGGAAGGATACATGGTGATGAGGACAAAATTAGATGGGAGGAAAATTAAAATTTCAATTCATTCACGTTCTTTAAAAAACTGCTATTTTCCTTTTACAGTACTTTGATTCAGTGGATCCGAGTCAGAATTGTTCACTTGAGATCCACTCAGACTGATTCAGTCATTAATTTTACATGGCTTTCTAAACATGCCGCTCTCGGCAAGACGCAAGTGCAACGCTGATAGATGTCCCTCTAGAAAATGTGATAAATATGCGTTCTGTGTGAACGGCTTGGCTTCAGTTTTGACGTAAACATCTCTACACTGATGCTCTCGTTTTCCGCAATATGAATGAACAACGTAGCAGCGCCACATCTAGTGGGTTCAACTGGATAGGCTACCAAAAGCATTCAAATGCAATCAATGACACATACATCGTCATTGCATCTCGTGCGCCACTGATAAGGCTGCCTGACACAGACCTTAAACTCAAATGCAACGGTTTTGCATTCGAATGTGGATTTAAAAAATTTTTTTAATTTTTTTTTAATTCAACGAATATTCAAAATTCTTTTTGACAGCCCTAATAGACAGACAGATAGCAACACTGATATATTGCGCATCCCTATTTTTATCCTTGTGGATGGTAAAGACAAATATGTACAACAACCACTCACATTTTCTTGTTAAAAAAATAAAAAAGTAAACAATGTCAAATTGTTAAGGTTAAACTTTTAGAGTTTCACATTAACTTCATTTTCAAATATATTATTCACAACTGTCCATTTGGGTAAAAAGGTTTTGTCAATTAGCTGTAGGGTTGGTGAAATCCAGTACGCAATGTACAACGTCAACGGATGTGCATGCCGTTACACGACACCGGTCACATGAGTTTAAAGGCAGAGTGAGGGATTTCTGGTAGCCAATGTTGATATTTGAAATCACCAAAACAAACACGCCCCTACCCCAAAAGGGTCTCGCCTCTATTCTGATAGCTCCGCCCCACATATACGTACGCAACCCAGGCAACGATTAGTTCTGTGAAACAAAGCAAAATCAATGTTACACCGTGTCTACGGACGTGAGCGGCGCAGCGCAACAAATCCCCAACAGAAAACTGGTGCCGGGTTCTATTTATGACTTGCTGACACAAATTTCAAATGGTTTTCAACAGTCGTTTGAGCGCGTCCAGTGTAGGCAGATTTTAGCTGTTGTAGACACTGTTACTCACCTATTGAGAAGAAACAAAGCAACCTTGGCGTCCGATCGCAGGCCTCCGCTCCTTGAGTTCTCTCCAGCGCTGGAAAGCTGATCCGATATTTACACGGGTCCTACTTCTTGCCTTATCATTCCGCAGACGTTTTCCTCTTTTGTTTTTATCCTCCATCTCTATCTTTCTGTCGCTCGGCTCGGCTAATGTCCGTCCCATGCACTGAACGCGCTCTCCTCCACTTCACGTGTAGACATGCCCCTTATTGCTGATTGGCTACAAGTTTGTTTTGCGATTCAGCCCAAATAAGTTTTTTTAAGTGCTTTTGAAAAATCACTTACTCTGCCTTTAAAAGTCGAGATGAAGAAGAGACACCAAATGGATTAAAAGTACTTTTTTGACTATTGCAACGATTAAAAATAATCAAGTTCATCAGAAGACGGAGAGTCACATTTACAAAGTATTACACCAACCAAAAAAACAGGCCAATTTGTAAAAAAATTAATTATCCAGCTAGCCAAATTTCTCATAGGCAACTAAAATATCCTTGAGCAATAAAAGCAAATTCAAATATACAAACACACCAAACTAAGACCACCTCTAAACTTACTAGTAGCATTTGTGAACTGCGCTTGAAAGCTAAAAATACTCCCAAGCAAAGCTTCAGCCTCCCTCACAGTGTCACATGTAGCCAGTCGACTTGAGTTTCACATATCAAATCTTAAGAATATGCCATATTAATCACTACATAAGAGAGCAACACTAAAACCAGACTTATACAAGCTGACACAATTTCATCCAATTGTTAACACCGGCTTGGGTGTAGACCAAAAGCTGTAATTTTATTCCTATCGTCCATTTTACTGACATCACTAGAAGTGTGACTCAACTTCCACTCTAGTGTGAATACAGAGAGTCTTGGCCTTTGTTGCGTCTCGGATCCAGTTGCATTTGCTTTATTACACCAAACATGAACTGTGCACCATGAGAGTCTTCCTTTGATCTGAAACAGGCAGACAAATTAATGCATTTTATTATCAAATGTCGCCCACCTGCCTGGCCTGCGGTGTCTGCAGCAGCTCGCGAACCCTTTAATCCAAACGGCGAGAATCCAAACCAAGTCGTTCGGCATAACACATCAAGATATTTACTTTTCAGATCCGAGGACAATCAGCTTGGATTTCTGAAGATGTGGCAACGGTGTTTACGCTCATTCACTGATAGATTCCAATGGCATGAACAACTTACAATCTCAAAGACACAGATTCACTGCTTTGCTATGTGGAAAACAGCGTCCACTTAAAACTAGGGAGTGCAAATTAATAGCAGGACTGGTTTAAAATAGAAACAATAGGTTTGGGCTTATATAGGCAGAAAGGAGCATCTTTCATATTAAATACAAACTTCGTCAAACATTAAGCACTAATTTCTGTATTAAAATTGAACTTAACTAATGTTACCGATGCAATGTCATTTGTTCAGTAAAACTCAGCATTATTATTACTTTTTTTTTTAACTAGATAAGGTTGCAAAACTGACCAGAAGACATGATTAAAATAAATAAAGCAATACAATTTATAAGAAAATATTTCTATTCATCAGTGGAATTCCCATGGCTTTTAAGAATTAATTTTCATGACTTTCCCTGACCTGAAAATCACAATTCTAAAATTCTAAAAAGCCAGTTACTTTCAACCAAACTAGACTGTCTGCCAGCAGACTAAGACACATAAAACAAGTTATTTTGTTGCATTACCTACTGTGGGTTTAATTAATGGCTTCATTAGCGTATCAAGTGCTTAATAAGGAAGGCAACGACGGCAAAGGGCTGGGATTGGTTCGCTACACCGAAGTTCCTGCTCGCTTTGAGGGGAATTTGTTCAGCTGAGTGGGTGATTTGCTGTCAGGCAGGGAAATAACTGTCGCCTGCTGCTGACTGCTAGCCTGTTAGCACTGCTTATCCAGCCTCGCGTTGCGGTCGACGCGGGTCTTACCTTGTTGCTCTGGTAGTCTTCAAACGCTCGCAGCGCGCTGTCAGTCAGCTTGACGTGATAGACGGAGATGTTGCTGCCATTGCTCACTCTTCCACAGGACAGTCCGTAGCACCGCTCCTCTTTTAACGTCGCCATCTTGCTCGCACTTCCCACCACGCTCACGCGCCTCTGCTGTGAACGCAACAAGCAGCTCGAGAGAGCTGAGGATATGATTATTCATGAGGCGTGAACTACGTACAGGCGGGAGGGGGCGTGGCTTCAGGGCTAATCATGAGAGGGATGACCAGCGATGGGAAGTCCGACTCATTTCCGCGAATCGGTTCTTTCGAGTAGTTCGTTTCAAAGAACCGGTTCTGAAACGATTCCGCTGTTCTTTTACATTACTCTCTAAAAAAATCATAGTCAGGAACATATTGCTGCTTATAAAAAAAAAAACTAATTTATATTGTTTCGGTTCTGCAGTCATGACAAAACTTTTTACTTAGAAGAACCTAAAACATTTGACTTAGACCCTAAGTATAATCAGTTCATTTACAAGTTGAAAAATGTGCTGTTATGGACGTTTAACAACATGTCGTGAACGTTTTTTGGTAACATTTCTGCTATTTGACGATTAAAAAGTAACCTAATTTCTGCTTATTTAGCCATTATATTACTTTCAGTCAGAATTGTTGACTCGCGATCCGGTCAGACCAGATTCAATCCAATAAGTGAATGAATCATTGTGAACCGATTCACTGAAAAGATCCGACTCGATTCTCACGGATTGGACATGGCTAGAAATCACCGATAAATAGCGTCATTACAACGCGGTTTGAGGCATTTTACAGTCTATGGGCATGATACGTTTATTTGTGAATATATTTCAACAATAAGGCAGACGTGCATGATTTGAAATGTGTGATTTGACCATGTTTGGTGGTGTTTTCATACACTGGAAAACTCTTGGCTGGGGGTGGGGGAAGGTTTTGGATTGAACGCTTCTCTCTCACAGAACTGAGTCAGAAAAACGTCAATGTCTAGAAACCCCCCTTGAATAGGGATTGCCCCTCCAGACTCCAACGAAAGGGATGAGGTTTCGTCACGTTATGCACTTTAAGTACATTCACTATTTCATTTGTTCATCATAACAATGTATTATAACAGTGGCACGTGCAAGAAAGCACTGTGTTATTCTATTAACACTATTCACTTTTATTGCCTTGCAGTCACACATATTTCATTCAGAAAATGCAAATCTAGAATTCACACAGTAGCTCTGATGATCTTCAAGAAATCACTTTATTTTCAACCATATGAACAGAAAGTGCAAAAGTTTATTATAGGGTATACAAAATAATTTAAAGGGAATGTTGGAAGTTACCAATACTGAAATCAGAATGGGCAAATGGGGAATGACGACAATCAACTTAAGGATTACAAGGATAAAAAAACTGACAGATGTCTGTTCATCCTAAATAAATAATTCAAACTAAATGCTGATAATTCTTGTAGGTCTGTATGACCTCCCTTGCAGTGTTTGGTCATGAAAATAAGAAACTCTGGGAACATTATTGAGGGACAGCAGCTGATTCCAGTGATATTTTGGAGCCAACAAAGGAGAAGAAAGCTCGAAAACCAGTAACGTACCACATCAGTGCAAGGACTTTTAAAATAGTGTTGTCTTACTTTAGATACTGCAGAAGAAAAAGCCTACAATCATATTCTTCAATGTTCAAGACTGTTCACAAGCAAGTTTCAGTTCACCAAAATAAGATCACGGAACTTCACGCATGTTGTTGAAGAGTTCTGCAGCGAAACACGACTGTGTCCAGCAACCTGAAGAGCGTCATTCTGTACATTGATAAATGTATTAATTCTAACTAGGAACTTCTCTGTACATAAATAGGAATTAGATCACATTTCTCACATCTATTTCACCCCAGCTCATCTTCCATACATTGAAAGTACATTTAAAACCTCTACAGTGCGATGAAGGGCAACAGAACTACAACCATTTTACTTTCAATTACAATTTTTTTTATGACAGTCGGTAAGGTGTTTGGGTGCCTGGCGTACTCAAGGTCTTCAGCACCACATCATTCATCTCGTCACAGTGAATTTGGGATTAATTTCTAGCTGCAATGACGACTGATAAAGCTACACCGCCAATCGCAACGGCTGTTGCCCCAAAGAGCCACTTCCAGCTGAGACTCTGTAAAAAGACATAACTTGTTTAAAAGAAATACTTCACACAAAATGAAAACTGTCATTATTTATTCATCCTCATGTTGTTTTAAATCCATATGTGGCTTTTTATGGTATTTTTTGGAAGTCTTTTTTTAGCTTTGTGGGATGAACAAATTAAAATGTAACTTATTATTGGCTGATCATTTTCTGCACCAGTGAGGTTTGAGTTGAACTTCAGAATCAGAATCGTCAATGAATCGTTCAGTCTGATTTATGAACCAGATTCACTAGAAAAGAAATGGCTTTAATGAATGATTTGCAAAAAGCGGCGTTCAGTATCGTAATTGTTGCGTGCACCGCATTTAATACGGCATCAGTATTTGCATACTTCACCACAATTGGCCAGTCATTTGGACTGGCGTGTGCCAATAGGACTTCAGGAAAGATTGGAAGGGAAGGATACAAGGTGATGAGGACAAAATTAGATGGGAGGAAAATTAAAATTTCAATTCATTCACGTTCTTTAAAAAACTGCTATTTTCCTTTTACAGTACTTTGATTCAGTGGATCCGAGTCAGAATTGTTCACTTGAGATCCACTCAGACTGATTCAGTCCACTGTAAACCGTTTGAGTAGATCAGACTCAAAAGAACAATTCTTTGATGAATCGGACATTGCAGGAAATGACGGTGAAGGGAAAAAAATTAGATGGGAGGAAAATGTATTATTTATTATTTATCAATTTTTCATGCCTCATGAATAATTTCAAAGCTTTTGTGTTTTCTTCCCTTGCTAAACAGCTGACTGAATAAAATGAGGTGCGAGGAAAAACTATTTCAAAGCTTCTTCTGGCAAATGCAATATTTTTGCGAGAGAATGCAAAATTTCTCAAGGGAATGCAATACTTTTGTGAGAGAAAGTAAAAGTTTTGCAAGAGAATGCAAAGTTTCTCATTGCAATGTAATATGTTTACGAGAGAATGCAAAAGTATTGATATATAATTTCCCATCACCATGTCCCCTTAGGAGCTCATATATTCAATCATGAATTTGACTGATCCAGTTCTCGAGTTCAATTCAAACTCGATGCACTCACAGAGAGATTCCAAAAATGTTCCTATTACAAATAATGGGGGAAAAATAGCTATGTATGAATTTGGAACAACATGAGGGTGATTAAACATTTTTTATTCATTAATCACTTTTTATTTATAACCTTTAATAGGTTAAGGCATAAATGTGCACTTTGTCCTCTGTAAAACTCACTCCTGTTGAGAGTAAACACAGAGATGCAACCTCATAAATAAACCGTGAATCCTGTTAAATAGTTGAAAAAGGGCTATTTTAAGCTCTCACCCATGAGGACTTGGCACGGTGTTTCTGCAAACTGGCGTTCGTTGGGTTACCCAGCATCTTTTTATACATGGCCTGTTCGGCTCCTTTCTGCTCGGAGTGTTTCTTCACAAGCTTCGACAGCTCAGCGTGGATGGTCTGCCGAGGAAAGGGCAGAGAGAGTGAAAAGTGTGTGTGTGTGTGTTATCGTCAAGCTGATGAAACTGTTGCTCACTGCAGCACACCGACACATTTGGGCGAAACCAAAATGATTAAACATGGCAGTGCTGCCTGCCAGAGATTGAGTGAAAGCGAGATATAAACCCATTCAAGATTAAAAACACATTCACGTGTTTTCCAACATCAGCTGCAATGCCACAGAACACAAAAGCAGAAGTGAAAGCATCTTGTACTAATGAAACGTGTCTTTATATGGGTCACACAAATATGCATGATCATTTTTCTCCTATGTGACCTCAAAATCAAGACCCCGGAGTTTAATTCTCTCCATACCTGAGTGAAGAGGTTTAGATCTGCTCTAGTTTTAGCCAACGAGTGTGCAGACAATAAATGTTTCTGCCAATGCAGAGGAGTTCGATTCATTTAGTGAATCACAAGGTTTGTTTCAATTAACCAATAAAAATAAGCAGTTTATAATTTAATAGCTGAATCTTAATTCTTCAAATGAATCTAAATTGTTCAAGTGGACTGACTCGTTGAACAGTTGAATGTGAATAGTTCAAGTGAATCTGAACTGTTCATATTTTAGCAAATTAGTTCACTCAGTTTGTTTCAATGGAGTGATTCAAGAAATAGTTCATTGACTGAAGATTCATTTATGAACTGATCTGTTCAAGAGTTGAGTGTGAATCATCATTTAAGTGAATCTGAATCATTCAGTTTTACTTGAGTGATTTGGTTCATTCATTCAGTTTGCTTCAATAGACTGGTTTAAAAAACAGTTCACATATTCATTTAGCATCAGAACTACATATTTCATGTGATTTTATAAAATGGCTAATTTATGAATTGATTTGTTCAACAGTTGAATGTGAATACTTCAAGTGAATCTGAATCATTCAGATTTATTTTAGCAAATAAGTTCACTCAGTTTGCTTGAATGGTCTGATTCAAAAACAGTTAATTGATTAATTTCAGGACATCGTTAAATATTTCAATTGATCTTGTAGAATGTTTCATTTACAAACTAACTTGTTCAACAGTTGAGTGTGAATTGTTCAAACAAATCTCAATCGATCAGATTTGTTTCAGCAAATCAGTTCACTCAGACAGTTTGTTTCACTGAACTGGTTTTAAAAAGTTTGTTGATTTGTTCTGAAGAACGATTCAAATCCCCGATCCACACCTTACATGGTTACTTAAAAAGTGGCATTATGATGAAGAAACACTGCTAAATCAAAGTGTAACATATAAACATCAAAATTACAATTCAAAACATGAAGTTAAACAATTTAAGGTTAATTAGATTGAATAGAGTGTCATTATTAATAATAAGCAAGCAGCGAGGACTGTGAATGGCATTTTGAAAGTAAACTTTCAGGAGCCGCCCGAGTCAAACTACACCATGACAACCTGCCATTTAGTTTAATTACTGGCTAATGACTAAAACAAGTATGGTAAATGCAACGTGGCGAGATGGGATCTGATTGGATGAAGGAATTCTGCATTGGAGCATCTCTAAAGGCCAGACACATGAGAAGAGCGAGGTGTAAATGTGCAGACGTAGGCGGCTTGGCAGTGGCAGGCTGGTCATACAGCAGTCAGGAGCTGTCAGATGGAGGGACACAGGGAACCTCATCCATCCGCCTGTGTGAGCAGAGCAGGCCAACGCTGCTTTAGACATGGCAAGTGTGCAGAGGGACCCGGCTATTTATAGACACGGAAAGAAATTAGATCCTAGGAGTTTTTGAACACTGTTCTTTCTGCAGTCTGACTGAATTTGAGAGTCTGCAGCGCCATCTGCTGGTTATAATGGGGAACGCACATGATTCTGGGACCTGTTATACAAGTAGTTCTTAAAGGGGTCATATGATGTTGCTAAAAAGAACATTATTTTGTGTATTTGGTATATTGCAATGTGTTTATGCGGTTTAAGGTTCCAAAAACACATTCTTTTCCACATACTGTACATTGTTTCTCCCTGCCTTTCTGAAACGCGTCGATTTTTACAAAGCTCATCGGTCTGAAAAGCGAGGTGTGCTGTGATTGGCCAGCTATTCAGTGCGTTGTGATTGGCCGAATACCTCAAGCGTGTGACAGAATTGTTATGCCCCTACCATACTGTGATGCTGTGTCCGGCTGGAACGACGAAACAACAAGTGCTACTCTACACTGCTCAAAACTCGCGTTTGATTCATCAGTGGCAAATTCTTTAAATATGAAAACGTACTTGCAGTCTGTGAGTCAGAACAGCCGGCATTGTAGTCTACTCTCCCAGGATCAGGAAACAGTCCTCCATAAAATGTGCTGGACACATCGGAATATTTGGGTTGAAGTGTTCTGGAACAGTGTTGTAAATACAACTTAACCACTGATTTCTAGTCGTGTCCTCTTTTGGAAGGCCAAACAAAGTAGTTTCGCTTTCACAACGAAACACACAGCGTCTCCACGACATGGCGGCGGCGGCAGCAACAATAAAGTTACGCCTTCTTTCTTTGCGTGAACATTTGGGCGGTGTTATGCAAATCTTTCCACATTGTGATGTAGACATGTGGGGGCGTGTTTAAATGAGCCGTTTTAGGAGGACGTGGACGAGTCTTAACTTTTATAAAGAATATCTCTTTGGGTTTGAGACTTTAGTCTTTGCAACTTTAGGGATCTTATCTATTCACGAACAGCTTGTAATACTTCAAAGAGAAAGGAAATCGCATCATACGACCCCTTTAATAGACAGCAATTTTCAAAAAAGCACAATCATAATGTAATGCAATATTAATAATAATAATAAAAATTAACATACACTAAATATAAAATAAGAAATTAAAATAAAAGAATAGTTCTCAACAGATACCAATTTTCAATAGAAGACAAATAAGAAAATAAATATAAGATAATATTCAAGATGTAAAATAAAATAAATATAAAATACGATATAAAATAAAGATACCAATTTTCAATAAAAGACAAATAAGAAAATCAAGATAAAATACAATATAAAATAAAGATACCAATTTTCAATAAAAGACAAATAAGAAAATCAAGATAAAATACAATATAAAATAAAGATACCAATTTTCAATAAAAGACAAATAAGAAAATTAAGATAAAATATTAAGATGTCAAATAAAATAAGATATAAAAAAGATACCAATTTTCAATAAAATAAAATAAAAATTAAATTAAATAAAGATGAAAACTTAGATATAAAATAAGATATACAAATTAAATAAAGATAAAATAAAATATAAAAAGACACAAATTTTCAATAAGACCAATAAAATAACAATATAAAATAAAAATTAAATAATATAATAAATTAAGATATAAAATAAAGAAAATCAGATCAAACTAAATATGACTAAATAATATGACAATAAAAAAGATATAAAATAAAAAAATCGAAAATTAAAATAAGAGATAAAAAAATAAACAAATATATAAAGATACCAATTTTCAATAGACAAATAATGAGATAAAATAAAATGGATATATTAAGATATAGAATAAAATAAAATACAATCTAAAATAAAATAGTTCTTAACAGATACCAATTTGCAATAATACAAAATAAAGTAAGATAAAATAAAAAAATTAAGATAAAATTAAATAAAGATTTAACAAATATATATTTTAAAATAAAACAAAACATAGTTCAACTATGATAAAATTTCACTTGTGTTACCTTATTACTTGGTTCCAACTTCAAGGCCCTTTTCAGTGTTTTAATGGCTTCAGCATACTCGCCCTGCAGAGCCAGTACCTGCGGACACAAGCACATGTCAGCACTTTTTCATCTCAACACATCTCAAGCTGTTCATTTTTTCCTCTGCTGTGGCTGGAAACCTAAACGGAACCAAACGACTGAACAACCCACTTTCGCTTTGTCCAAACCCAGGAGTGCATTACTATTTAATGAGAGTGAGTGAAAACGATATGCATCTGAACCCAGGAAACCAACCTTGCCTTTGCGGAACAGGGCTTTGACATTGTCCGGCTGGTGCGCCAGGACGGAGACGCAAGAGCGCAGTGCGGCTTCATAGTGGTTTAGTTTGAGTTGAGCAGCGGCCATGTTATTGAGACATTTCACCTTCATGTCCAAAAGTTCTTCCTCTTCTTGTTGACTGATGTCCACTGAGATAAAAGAGTAATATGATTGCAGACAAAACCATAAAATGATTTATTAGGAAATAAACTGAATGACTCATGAATGAAGCAGTATCACCTCTGGATGTCGCTTCAGTTATCTGTAGAGCGATTCCGTACGAGTTGATGGCGAAGGCGTAGTCGGTGCGCTGGTAGTGGATGTTTCCTCGCTCTCGTTTTCTGTTGGCCAAACTGATTCGCTCAGAGGGCAGCATGAGCTCCAGGTCTGGGGCGTCTTCTGCCGACAACAGCTGCACCTCCAGGATGAGATCAGTGTCAGGAGGCACAGCAGGAGTAGAGCTGACAGAGGAGATGGACAGGGTTAGGAGTCACGCAGACCATGTTTAACACAGAAAATATTACTGCAATGTCATACTTCTGTTCAAAAGTTTGGAGTTGTGCGATTTTTAATGGTTTTGAAAGAAGCCTCTTATATTCACCAAGATTGCATTTATTAGATCAAAAATACAATAAAAACAGTAATATTGTGAAATGTTATTACATTTTAAAATAACTGGAATCTACATGAATACATTTTACAATGTAATATATTCCTGTGTTGCAAAGCTGAATTTTCAGCATCATTACTCCAGTCTTCAGTGTCACATGATCCTTCAGAAATCATTCTAATATACTGATTTGATGTGCTGCTCAAGAAATAGTTCTTATTATTATCAATGTTGAAAACGGTTGTGCTGCTTTATATTTTTGTGGAAACTGTTAATATATAACTGTTAAATTTAACTTTGATAAATAGAAAGTTAAAAATAATAGAAAGAAAAAAAACTGAAATAAAAATCTTTTCTAACATTTTAAATGTCTTTACTGTCAATTTTGATCAATTTAATGTGTCATTGCTGAATAAAAGTATTAATTTCTGTAAAAAAATTATCATAAATGTAATCATATAGAATTATGGTACTGAGTACATAAATGGTATTTGCTTTATTACACACACACACTTTGCTACAATGTAAAGTAGTGAGTGTACAGCTTGTATAACAGTGTAAATTTGCTGTCCCCTCAAAATAACTCAACACACAGCCATTAATGTCTAAACCGCTGGATCCTCTGCAGTGAATGGGTGCCGTCGGAATGAGAGTCCAAACAGCTGATAAAAGCAGCTGGATTTGTTTCTTTCAAACATGCAGCTTTTCACTTCACAAGACATTAACTGATGGCCTGGATTTGTGTGGATTATTGTGATGTTTTTATCAGCTGTTTGGACTCTCATTCTGACGGCACCCATTGACTGCAGAGGATTTATTGGTGATCAAACGATGTGATGCTAAATTTCTCCAAACCTGTTCTGATGAAGAAACAAACTCATCTACATCTTGTATGGTCTGAGGGCGAGGACATTTTCAGAAAATTGTAATTTCTCTGTAAACTATTAATGTCATTCCAATGATAGCATCAGCAGCATAAAGTTCTGAAGTCGACTTTCATCGTATGGAAAAGAGCAGCTTGGACATTCTGCTAAACATCTGCTTTTGTGTTTCACACACACAAACATAGTTAAACAAGTTTCCTCCAACCTATTGTTTAACGTACACACATTTATGCACTACTTTATATGGATTTCTAGGATAAGCTCAACCTTTTTTTTTTAAACAAAAATCCTCAGCAAGAAGCTCAGCCTGTGACATTATGCATAAAGTGAAAATCTCAAAGAATCAGTACACATTATTCGCCAACGGCAATCTCTGTAAATAATAAACCAACACTGGTTGACTTTTAACTACCCATGTCATCTCCTCTCAAGCTTTTATGCTTGTGCACAAAACAGTATAGGCCTACTTATTACTGTTTACAAAAATCATTTCAATTAAGTGTTTATCATTAAACTGCCAAAGGCATTCAGCAGGATATTGTCATATTCATAAAACAGGCCACATATAGATTTATTCCAATCACAATTACATCAACACACACGCACGCATTGTAAAAATTATTTTATATTTTATGGTTTATTTTTAATACAAATATTAAATGTTATTACTATATTAATTTAAAACAGTAATACAAATTAGAATCTATTGTTACTTTTAACAATTATTATTTTGCAGCATTTCTTATGATTTTATTTTCATATTAAGCGCATTCCATACATTCCGTACATACTTTAATGCCATTAAACCCTATTTTATTATGCAAAACTAATTAGAATATTCATAGAACATGATAGTATTTGCTATATTCCTTGTAAAAATTCATTTTATATATATATATATATATATATATATATATATATATATATATATAAAACACAAAAACAAATGCCCTAAAACAGTCAATTAAATGAATTTAAATGTTTACTTTAGAGGTAAAACATGACCCAGACATTTTTTAAAGTGATTTTCCTTCTTTTTCCATGATTAATATCCTCATATTGCACCACAAATGTTGACAGTGAACTCTGCGAGTGCAACCTCATTTGAAGAAAGACATGGAACCACACATGAGCTTCACAGACAAGTAGTGTATTGAAAATACCAATAAGAAAAAAAAAAAGATATATATTTACAGACATGGGACTATAGAGCACAAGGAAACTCGTGCTTGTAAGAGCAGCCTGCCTCAAACTACTGTTACAAACACGTGGGTATAATATTTCTAAAAAGACTTGCAAAACAACGTGGCAAACCATGGCAAAAAAATTACAATGAACATGAATGATATCGTAACTGTCAGTGGCAAATCACCTAGAATGGATGGTAAAATTTATTGTTATTGACCGTTCATGACCAAGGTAAGAATGGATGGCAGTGAATATGCAACCTCACCCTTTTAGATTTCGAAATGTACTCCAATCTTTAAATACAGTGCTGACGGGTGCATTAAACCAGTGATTGTAGCCACTTTGTTGACAGAGACACAAAAACATCTCGGTAGTGATGACAGAACACAGGAAGAGGTATATGCAGACATCCGACGAAACAAACTCAAACAAAGAGACATACAAATACCTAAAATCATGTAAACAGAAGTATCATTGTGCATTTGAATGTGTGCTTATTCTGTCATTGATGTTGTTGAGATACAAATGTGCCCTTTACAGGAAAATCCATAAAATTATGAGTACATCATCATCATCATCATCGCAATTATGAAAATTATAATAATATTATCAATAATATACAAATATATTGTAATGAGACCATTCCTGCCCCTAGCGTCACCACTTCAGCTTTTTCCATTTAAAAATGTACACAGCAATCAAAACAACCGCTAGTTTCAGTGTTTCATTGCCAACAAAAGACGAAAAAAAAAAATAGAAAACGGGGCTGAAATAAAGCCACCAGCCTCAACGCTGATGAGCAGCTAGTTAATGAAGTGTCTTCCTGGCACAGTCCCACACACACACGCACATGTACAAACACACATACACACGGTGGTTCAATCGGGGGCCCTTAGTGTCCCGATCCAGTGACGAAGCCCCGCAGGCAGGTTGAGTCCGTCAGAAGGCCCGATGCCTGCTTTCTTTCGGCTTTGTACTGGGCGTCCTTCACTCCGTGGCCACGCCGAGTGGCTGAAAGGTGCCACCGTGCCAGCCCAGAGTGTTTGAGGGAGTTGGGGGAGTTGAAGAAAAGATCGAGAAAAGAAAAAAAAACACAACAACATGCCGAACGCAGCAGAGATGAGGAGAACAGGAAGTGGGATGGGGGACGGGTTAAAAAAAAAAAAAAAAAAAAAAAAAAAGGAGAATCACACACTCATCGTCATGTTGGGTGAATACTGCAATGAGAAGAGAGGAAGGGGAAGGTGGAGGGACAAAATTAGATAATATTGTCCATTTACGTTAAATCACGAGCCGATATTTAGACTAACTACTGACTTACACTTTCACTTTGGAATGGGTTTAAGAAGTTGCCTGCCATCTCCCCGTCATCCCGCGGAGTTCCTGGGGGATTGTTCATACCTGCCATGTTGTTCGGAGAGTTCTAGAAACCCAGATGCATGATGATTAGAGGCATAAGCAAAAATACTCACAAAATGGAGTAAATGGCATCTAATAAAAAACTTGTGGAAGCATACTAAATTCTGGCCAATAATGATGAGCCGATAATTAGGGATGCACCGATACCACTTTTTCCAGAGCAAGTCTGATACCGATACTGTTATTTTTGGTACTTGCTGATACGGATACCTGTATTTTTATCGCATTTGTAATTTTTTAAAATATTTGGTACAGAAACTTACAAAATTGAGTAAATGGCATCTAACAAGAAACTCAGGGATGCACAATACTAAATTTAAAAAAAAAAATATATATATATATATATATATAAAATAAAATCCTAAATACTAAAATAATCATTCAAATGCCGTAAGTGATTGAGGCATCACAACATTAAGATGTACAGTAAGAGATCTGGATATTCGTATTGAGATTTGTTAAAGATTTCATTTTCATTAAATTAACAGTTTTATTAAATTAACGTTTTTAAAAGATTACGTTTAAGTGAGTGTTAGAGGACGGCAAAGGTAATCTAAAAGTAAAATAGCAAAAATCTGAATGAACCGTTAAATATTTAATATCAGTTAATACTGATGTATTTTAAAAATTCTCATAGCCAATAACCGATATTTTGTGCATCTCTCAAGAAATTAAAAAGAATAAGTGAAATGCAAATCAGTGTTGTTATTGTTAACTGAAACTATTGACACAAAACAAAATGTAATTATTAAATTAAAAACTTAGACAAATTTAGAACTTAACAAAATTTGAAATGTTGCCTTGGCAATAAGCTGAAAAATATATTTCAACACAAGCACTAAAATTACTAAAACTGAAAAATAAAGCTATGTAGAAACATATTAAAAAAACAAATAAAAAA